ATGAATTGTTGTTGGTTGAATGTTGAACAGAAGAGCTGTTTGTTATCTTGGGCCAAGGGACCTTCCACATCACCAGAATCTTTAGGTGTGATGTTTAAAAGAGAAGGCGGCATTTCCTCAACACTGCATTGATGTCAAAATTTATATCAAAATCAAAATTTTGATTTCATACTTGATTCTAGAAAGATTGCAATACTGTACAAAATACGTAAAGAATTTATTGAGTGGAAGGAATGCAGTTCACAGAAATAGCACAAGTTTTTTCCAGAAAAGCCCTTGTAAAGAAGGCCTGGAGAGATATTCAGAAATAGCAAGAACTGCAAATGCAGCAATAATTTAATAATCAGATTAGTGATTTGCTGATGTTGGTTAAGAATTAACTATTGGTCAGAACAATTGGAGAGAACTTCAGAATTTAATCCAGATGCTTACATATACAAGCTGGCTTCAAAATTTAAGCATATAATCCAGGTTGATGCAGTACCAAGGGAGTGCTGCGCTGGTGAAGGTGATAGCCTTTAAACAGGCCCTTATATTCAGACTCGATTATTTGGTCGGGGGACAGAAAGATTCCGTGGTACTTCAAATAGTTTTTCTTGAGTGCAAACCAGGAGTAAACCCTCAAGCAACATCATCCATGAGAGATTAATTTGTTATACACAAAGTACAATGTTTGACAACATAATTGTCACTGTGCTTTAAACGTAAACCATTTGGCCATTTTGGGGAATTTTCAGTATGTGAAACGCATAATCGAACTTTTGTTTTGCATTTTTAAAATATGTTTTAATAAAATATATGAGGTACATGTGGATCATTGACTGTTTCCTGAATGTTTTACAAAAAAAATTTTTGTTGTGCCTTATGCATTTGATGCAGTAATCTACAGGCCAATTGAGTTTGTGAATGACACCCATCAGGTCATAGAGATGATGAGATAGTCCCTACCATGTGGCAGGTGTTGGAATGCCATCTTGGCTCAATCCCAAGGAATTTGTAGGCTGCCATTGCTGATCTTTCTATGTTGTTTTAGTTTTAATGATTCCTTTGGGATTCATATTTTGTGTGGTGATTCAATGGTTTCATCCTAAAACTGCAAGGCTTTGTCATGTTTCCAATATTTTTATATTGATTGGATTTTTGTGGGGTTTGCATTGGATACACAGTAATGAAACAGGCCATTCGGCCCAATCAGTCAGTGCTGTTGTTTATGCACCACTTCAGCCTTTTCCATGTTTTCTCATCCCCGTCTACCATCATAACTCTTCTCCCTCATACATATGCTTCGCATTGTCTTGAATGCATCTATATTTGAACCATTTCCATATCCAACAGGTTCCACATTCTCCCTAGTCTTTGGGTGAAGATGTTTCTTCTGAATTCCTGATTGGATTTAGAACAAAGAACAATACAGCACAGGAACAGACCCTTCGGCTCTCCAAGCCTGCACCAACACATTTTGCCCTTCCATACTAAAACTGTCTTCACTTACAGGATCCTTATGTCTCTATTCCCTTGCTGACTATCGAATATATCTAGTTATGTTCATCCCCCCACAGGAGGAAATATTTTTTCTGTATCCACTCTATCAAATGATTCATAATTTTAATGACCTCAATCAAGCTTTTCCTTAAGGCATTTTTTTCCAACAGTGAGTTAGTTTGCCAATCCTTTCCTGATGAGTGTACCCAGGCATTCTGGTATCAAGCTTGCAAGTCTTCTCTGCACCTTCACCAGTGTCTCACATATCCTTTTTATATTATGGCAACCAGAACTGCCAGACATTAACGTTACTATAGTCCAGTCAACGTTCAATACATGATTAGAATTACTTCCCTACTTTGTTATTCTATCCCTCCAGAAATAAACCCTAATGCTTAGTTCACTTTCTAACTAACCTTGCCTTGCTAATCTGTGGAAACCTTTAGTCAGTGATTCAAAATACATACAACTACATCAATCTGTTGTGTCATGTTGTTACACACCTCAGTTGGGACTTGAACCCAGACTTTCTATTGATGTAGTTGTACTCTGAGATCCTTTGTTCCTCTCCCCAATCGAGACTTGGACCTTCCAAACAATGAGTGATCTCCTCCTCTTCATGCTAAAACAAACTATCCTATTTATTTGTGATGAACTTAATTTGCCAATTTTTTACCCGCTTTCCAAATTCACAACATTCTCATGAAATTTGTTACAATTTTCTTTGGTTATGAAAAATTGGTGTCATCTGCAAATTGTGTTTTTAGAACCCAAATCGTACATGTTTTTTCCAAAGTCCATCTAAATTCATCTAAATCCATTTAGTTCATTTAAATTATAACAGATCCCTATCTGCTCTGGATTATTTCCCATTAATTGATCCAAAAGGGAATACTAACTTGTTGAGCTTCTTACATTTTGGGTGAGAAGGGAGTCCTGTACACATTGTAGAAACTCTAGTTGCACATTAATATCAGGCTAGTTGATTTCATCATGATTCTTATTCTTTTTTAACTGAATTCCTGAATTTATCTATGCACATCCCTTTGCATTATTAGGTGGTCTGTAGACAAACCCAATTGTTGTGATTTATGCTTTATTGTATTTATCCATGGACATCTACTTTTTCCTTGCTCATAGCTACAATTTTTGTAGCTTATTGTTTACATTTTAAACAAAACAAAGCCTTTATATTTTTAAGCTTTCATGTGTTATTGTAAATGTCTATGCTGCTTTAGGATCAATAGCAAATCTTCTGACATGAAAGAATGAGGTGTTTTTATTGCATATAAAAGGTTTGCAGTTTGACCTCATCTGGAAGGCACCACAAAAGTAATTAGCTGTCAAATCTTGACGCTTGTACAAACAATAAGCTGCTGGGTAACAATTATAGACAGAATCAACCTGTTGTGACACACCTCTGCAGGAGTTCGCACTTGGAGCCAAGGTATCTTGCCCCAGAGGTAGGGGCACTCCCACCGTGCCAATTGTATGATTGCAATTATCTTTAGAAGTTTTATCTTAAAACTTTTGATGAACATTCATTCTACTTCATGCTTCCGTTATCGACTTCAAATCCACAAAGATGTTACTTAATTTTTACAAAATGTTCTGCAGTCTTTGAAGAGAGAAAAACAACATTGAAATTTGACATTCCTCAGAGCTTTCCTGCTACTTTCTACTCATGCAGGAAACTATTTACATTCCTTTTGACGCAACAAGGGAGTCTCAGGACTTAACAGATCCTCATTTACTTTGGCAGAAAGACCTTAAACAATGGTCTTTCCCCACTGCACCTTGGCGGCTGCTGTCCCAAGCTTTAGTGCCTCCCACAGAACATGGTCATGGACCTTGAAATGTGCCAGTCTCCAAAGCTCAGTTGAGGTAAACTCTTTACACTGGTGGACCAATAAGTTTCGAGCAGACCAAAGAGTGTCTTTCACCACGTAGATGGTCCTCTAGGCACAGCTGATGTTTGGATGTTTGGCTCGGTGTGCGTCCTGGGAAGCAGCCTGTACAGCACAGAGACCTCATGGAGGAGCTTGGGATGAACCTTGACAAAAAACACTGAACATCTCTCCAGAGATAACACAGTATGGAGCTGGAGGAACACAGCAGGCCAGGCAGCATCAGAGGAGCAGGAAAGTTGATGTTTCGGGTCGGGAAAATTCTCAGGAGATTTTCAAACTGGTGAATTCCATGTTAAGGCCAGTGGGCTGTAGGCTCCCGAGGTGGAATATGAGGTGTTGCTCCTCCAGTTTGCGGGTGGCATCATTTGTGACACTGGAGGAGGCCCAGGATGGACATGTCACCCATGGAGTGGGAGGGGGAGTTAAAATGGTTGGCGACCGGAAGGTGTTGTCATTTGTCGCGTACAGAGCTCAGATGCTCTACAAAGTGGTCTCTGAGCCTCCGCTTGGTCTCACCGATGTAGAGGAGGCCACATCGGGAGCAGCGGATGCAGAAGACCAAGTTGACGGATGTACAGGTGACCCCTGTATGATATGGAAGGTTTGTTTTGGGCCTTGAATGGAGGTGAGGGAGCAGATATAGCACTTCCTGCAGTTGCAGGAAAAGGTGCGGGGGATGGTGGGGTTAGTGGGAAGTGTGGATGGATGTGGGATTCGCAGAAAGAACGGTCCCTATGAAAGGCAGATAGGGGTGGGGAGGGAAATATCTTTATGGTTGTGGAGTCGGATTGTAGGTGGCAGAGAATGGCCTAAACTTGGAATTCAGCAGTTTTAAAATCTCCCCACCCCTGGCCTCATCCCATATCCAAGCCTCCCTCTCATCCCGCCTCCTTGACTTGACAGGACCTATCCATCTTCTCTCCCACCTATCCGCCTCACCCATCCCACTGACCAAACCCCACCACTCCCTACCTGCACTCACCTATCACCATCCCACCTACCTTCCCCAGTCCCATCCCTCCTCTCTCTATTTACTTCCCAGCTCCCTTTCCCCTCCCCATTTCTGAAGAAGGGTCTCGACCCAAAACATCAAATTTCCTGCTCCTCTGATGCCGCGTGGCCTGCTGTGTTCCTCCATCTCCATGTCGTGTTATTGCCAGAGGTTACAATGTTGGTTAGGCAGCGTCTGAGCATACGCTTTTCTGGTCAAAATTTTATTCCAGCTGTCATATCACTAGCTCCCACCATACTTATTACTCATTCCAAACACACATACATACACGTATGATACACACACAACCAATCATGCTCCCAACCAGTTCTGCTCAATTATATAATTATATCCCATTCCCTAGTTGCACTTGGATGTGGGCATCCCTGCTAGATGCTACTAGATAACAACAAGTGCTATATAAGTGTAAGTTCTTTCTCAACAATTGAAAATAAATCTTATAATTTTTCCCATATACATTTAAAATTTTGTAATTTTAAGAGAAAATATTGTTTATGCAAGAAAATTAATTTATCCTCACTGAAAACAAACTCGATGTCAAACAAAATAATAAAACATGGAATTCTGCTCACTATTTTTTAAAAACACAAAGCTTGGATGATTGACAACAGTACTGTTTATTGTGATTTTTTTACATTTCTCTTCTGGTGCATTTCCTGGAGGCCTTGCCAAGACTGCCACAGGAGTAGCCCTGGTACAACCACCCAGATCATATTAAAGAAGACCAGATAGACCCAGAGATAAAGCCAGTTGCTGGTGTCCAAGTTGGGGCTCCCAATGAGCCATTCGGGGCAGAAGGTCATGCAGCCACCATAGAGTTCACAAACGCAGAGTGTAATTTGTACAAAGTGCCTGAAATCATACAACAGAGTGCAACATGTTATTAATGAATGACTGATGTACAAGAGCAATGTGCTTCAGCAGCTGGAACTCTGAACTGGAAACAGGAAAGTGCTGGTGATATTCAACAGGTCAGGCAGAGAGAAAAAAGTTAATAATTCAGAATCCTGGCAAAATGGTGTGGAGGGCAGGAAAGGAAAAGGGGGAGGTGATGCCTGCACTGAGAGGGGAGATTATAAATCTTTCCTTTTTGGCCTATCCCTGCCCTCTGGCTTTGTATGTGCTTTAAAGCTTCTCAGCTTCAACACCTTCCAGTTACAATGAAAGTTCATCCACTCAAAAAGGTTAGCTTGCTTTCTCTTCTGACAGATGCAGCCAGACCTGCTGAATATTTCCAGAATTGTTGAACACGTTGGTAATCTTCAAAACACAAAATAATTTCGCAGAAAGTGGATTTTCCAGTTTGCCATCATTTTTCACCAAGCATCAGTTGACAGCAGGTGACGGCAAAACGAATGTTGCAAAACAGTTCAGCCGAAACAAATTCATTATTTATAAAGTTCAATTTCATTAAAAACAAAGAACAGCGCAGCACTGGAACAGGCCCTTTGGCCCTTTAAGCCTGCGCTGACACATTTTGCCCTTCCATACTTAAACTATCTTCACTTACAGGATCCATATCCCTTTATTCCCTTCCTATTCATGTATTCGTCCAGCAGCTTCTTGAATGCTGCAATTGTGTCTGCTTCCACCACCTCCTCTGGCAATGCATTCCAGGCCCTTTCACACCCTTTGTGTGAAAAACTTGCCTTGCACATCTCTTTTAAATTCCTTCCCCAAACCTCGCACCTTGAACCCTGTCCCCTAGTAATTCAACCCTCCACCCCGGGATAAACCTCATACTATCTCTATACTCACTCTGTCCATGCCATTCACAATCTTATAAAATTCTACCAGGTCGCTCCTCAACTCCCTGCGGTCCAGTGAAAACCCCAGTCTATCCAACCTTTCTTTATAGCTAAAATCCCAAATACCAAGCAACATCCTGGTAAACCTTTTCTGTACCCTCTCCAAAGCATCCACATCCTTTTGTGGTGACCAGAACTGTATGCAGTACTCCAGGTGTGGCCTTACTTAAGTTGTATAAAGCTGCAGCATAACCTGTCTATCCTTATACTCAATGTCCCTTCCAATGAAGGCAAGCATGCTATAGGCCTTTTTTACTACCTTATCTAGCTGTGCTGCCACCTTCAGTGATCTGTGGACCTGCACACCCAGATACCTCTGCACATCAATTCTTAGGGTTCTGCCATTCACTGTGTAATTTTGACCTGTGCTTGACCTTTCAAAATACATCACCTCACATTTGTCTGGAATCAAAATCCATCTGCCATTTTTCTGCCCATGCCTCCAATTGATCTATATCCTGCTGTATCCTCTGACAATCCTCACTATCCGCAACTCCACCAATCTTTGTATCATCCACAAACTTACTAATTAGACCAGCTACATTTTCTTCTGAATCATTTATATAGATCAGGAACAGCAGAGGTCCTAGCACTGATCCTGTGGAACACCACTAGTCACAACCCTCTGTTCTGAAAAGTAACCTTCCACCGCTACCGTCTATCTCCTATGACTAAGCCAGTTCTGTATACTCAAATGTCCATTCCAATGAAGGCAAGCATGCCATAAGCCTTTTTTACTACCTTATCTACCTGCACTGCCGCCTTCAGTGATCTGTGGATCTGCATATCAATACTCCTAAAGGTTCTGCCATTCACTGTATAATTTCCACCTGTACTTCACTTTCCAAAATGCATCACCTCACAACATCAACCTTCCATCATTACCCTCTGTCTCCTGTGACTAAACCAGTTCTGTATCCACCTTGCCAGCTCACCCCTGATGCCATGTGACTTCACCTTTTGTATCAGTCTACCATGAGGGACCTTGTCAAAGGCTTTACTGAAATCATTGTAGACAACATCAACCGCTTTTCCCTCATCAGTCACCTGGTCACTTCCTGAAAAATCTCCATCAACTTCGTAAGGCACAACCTCCCCTGCACAAAACCATGCTGTCTATTGCTAATAAGTCCATTTGCTTCTAAATGCATTTGATCTTGTCCCTGAGAATCTTGTCAAATAATTTCCTGACCGCTGATGTGAGACTCACAGGCCTGCAATTTCCTGGATTATTCCTGCTGCCCTTCTTAAACAATGGGACTACATTGGCTGTTCTCCAATCCTCTGGGATCTCTCCTGTGGCCAAAGAGGACACAAAGATGTCTGTCAATGCTCCAGCAATTTGTTCTCTTGCCTCCCTCAATATTCTGGGATAGATCCAATTAGGACCGAGGGACTTATCTATGTTAATACTTTTTAAGACTCACAACACCTTTTTAATAGCAACTTGGTTTAGGAATTTGACACTTCCTTTCCTGAGATCATCCTCCATCAGTCCTTTCTCTTTAGTGAATACTGACACAAAGTATTCATTTAGGACCTCACCTACCTCTTCCGGCTCCACACAGATTCTCTCCTTTGTCTTTGAGTAAGCCAACCTTTTCCCTGGCTACGCTCTTGCCTTTTATATATGTATAAAAGGCCTTGGGATTCTCCTTAATCCTGTTTGCTAACGACTTTTTATGACCCCTTTCAGCCCTTCTAATTTCCTTGTTTAAGTTCTTTCCTACTTTCCTTAAATACTTCGAAGGTTTCGTCAGTTCCATTCCTCCTAGACCTTACATATGCTTCTGTCTTCTCTTTAACCAAGGTCAATAACAGCCCCGGTCATCCAAGATTCACGTACCTTGCCGTACCTATCCTCCATTCTCGCAGGAACGTGCCGCTCCTAAACTCTTATCAACTAACATACATGGCTGTACCATGTCCGATGTAGATTTACCCTCAAACAGCTGCGTCCAAGCAACATTCTCCATTACTTTGTGAGACTAAAGTTGAGTATGGTACTTGTCTATTTACATATCTTACCGACTTATTTTGTAATACATTATCAATTAAAAGATTAATCACACTAACAGCACCTACACCAGTACTTTGTTTGATAAACTAAGGTGGCAGTGTAGTGATAATTCCAGCAGACTCATAACCCAGAGACCCTAGTTAATGCTCTGTGGATGCAAATTCACTGATGTGGCACAGTGGTAGTGATCTACCTCTGAGCCAGAAGGTCCAGGTTTGAATTCCACTTGTCACATAGGTGTGTCATAACATATCTGAAAGGCCAATTTATAAAAAAAAATTCAGCATTTTCATTCCAATCTTCAGCTCATCAGTTCAAACTTGTTTGGTACAACAACTGGAAGAACAGCACACATACAAAGAGAACCGCAATAAAGATTTCAAATCCAAATTAAACAAAAGCTCTTCTGCCAAGAAGCGCTTTTTCTCTTGAGTCTTTTTTGACTGCAGACACAAAAGTCTTCACAAAGTATTGTTCTATCACCAACTATTCACTAACAGATTTCCTCTCAGATACATGTGAGATAACTCCACAGACCTCATTACAATCAATACACATGTTCCTTCACATAATATACATGAAGATCAGAGTATGGACAAAGCAATTAATCTCCGTGCTCCTGGAGATGGGGAGGAGTGAGACCGAGGAGGAATGTAGGACTGGGGGAGGGGCACATGGAAGGGAATGCAAAGAATCTTTTCAAGTTGTCCCATTAGCTTAGTTGATAAGTGCACTTCTCAGTGGTGTACTGAACCATACAGATCAAGACAGTCCCAGGTTTAATCTTGTATTGAATTAGAACAGTGACAGAGGCTGTTGCAAACAGCTTTATTAATCCGATTTATTAATTCACTATCCAATGAGCCCTGTAGCACAAAGCAACCCATTCCACGGTCAAATGTCCCTACCAAGATTTACAGTCCAGAAGAACAGTTAAGTGGTTAAACAATTAGAAAAGCCAGCACCCTCAGAACCATGGCCAGAATAAGTCAATACTCTCATGGAAGAAACGTTAAAGGGAGGAGAACAGCAACAAAACCATCCATGGGAGAGAGGGTTATGAAATACTTTACATAGGATTTCTCCCTAGTGCAATGTTTCCTCCTGATATAAATGCAGATAAAAGCAAATTAATGCTGCTTTGCTGAATTACTCCATTGAAATGTTTACAGCTTGAGTATTTGTTTTAATGAACAATATTTAAATCTTCTCACCTGTAGTATTTATCTTCCACAATAGCATGAATGAGAAGCAGAATTAAAATCCCATCCAGTGTCACAGTCAGGATTTCTAGTGATACAATTGTCGGATCTGAATGAAGCCATCTTGCATCCGCTTTCCCATACTCTTGCCCTGAGAACACGAAGATACTAAGCTTTAGCAAAGGAAATCAACCATAGACTCAGGCATGCACGTACACTACAGTCATGATTAGTGAAAAACACCAAGATTTACACTTGGATAGGAGCCAAATAGTTGAGTATATGATTGCGACATAAGCTGAACAGTGTACACTTCAGAATAATTACATCCTGGGGTGGGAGGAATGGGATAGTAATCAAGTCTCATTACTTAATGAGTTGCACCCCAAGTTCAAATAGTGCTAACATACTGCCATAATAGCAATAAATTTCATTTCTCAAGAACAGTTGTTTCACACTGTGCAGCCTGATGTTAAATATGGGAATGAACAGTTGCAAACGGAGATAACAAGGTGTAGAGCTGGAAGAACACAGCAGGCCAAGCAGCATCAGAGGAGCAGGAAAGCTAATGTTTCGGGCCTAGACCCTTCTTCAGAAAATACTTTGGTAGTATTGAAACTCTGATTCAAAGCAGCAAACAGCCATTGTCTCTGGGACCTGGATTAAAAATATCAACAGAATATCGAACCAGCTGACTGCAGCTGTGAGTTGGACTGTGGGCTGGATTGTTGAGATGTTGCTTTCTGGAGCTACTTGACACGTAAGTTAGCTTTGTGAAAGAAACTTTCCTCTACTTTGTGGTGGTACCAGATGGAACTGTGAAGTGGTACATTTAAACTTCAAATGCTCATAGAATTGTACACTGATACAGCACAGAAAGAGCTCATCACTCCATTATGTCTGCTCCCCAGATATCTGGTAGAGCCAAGCAAATAAATCCACTCTCTAATCCTTTTCCCAAAGACCTGTTAATCATTTCCTTTCAAGAATTTACCAAATTATTGTAAGAATATAGGAACGATATGAAATGAATTAGCCTCCTGTGTCTACTCTGCCATTCAATGAGATAATTTCTAATCTGTGACTTCACTGTATATGTCTTTACTAAACAAAATCCACCAATCTCAATTTTAAAATTAACAACTGGTCTAACATCATCCAGATTTGCAGAAGAGAGTTCCAAACAGTTATCACTCCAGCCGTGAAGATACGTTTCCTAAATTCACTGCAGGAGATCCCGAGACCTGGACTCTCCAGATTGGGTAAGTTTTATCTCTCTATCAATCCTATCTCTTCTTCCCAATATCTTCAAAATTTCAATCATCCTTCACCTTCTAAATTCCAGCAAAGACAACTCTAGGAAATGTAAGCTTGCCTTGTAGCTTAACCACTGGAATTCAGTTATCATTCCACTAAATCTGCACTTCAATGTATTCTTCATAAAATGTGATGCCCAGAACTGCTCACAGTACTGCAGGGAAGGTCTTCCTAATGCTTGGCAGAACTAAAGCAATTAAGATGACTAAGGGCCAGCATTCCATTAGCCTTTATGATAATTTTTGTAGTTGTTCATTATATTTTAATGATCTGTGTACATGTATCTCAGGTCCTGTTCAGCTTCCACTCTTTCCTAGAATTTCAAAAGAAGCTTGATGTATCCTTTTTAGGTCCAAACTGATGATCTCCGATTTGCCTACAAAGAAATCCAATTGCCAGTTTTGCTCAATCATCTTGTGATTTTATTAAACTGCTTTATTGCACTGCTTACCATGCCAATCATCTTTATGCCATTGTATTATTTAGATGCAATTTCCTATGCCATCATTAAGTTGTTAATAAATACAGTGGCCTCAACCTGGATCTTGCCTATTATGCCAACTCTGCTCAGCTTGTTACCTAACCAGGTTATTGATTTAATTTCAATTCCTTGAACTTCAACTTTAGATGTCATCGTCTTTTGAGGATCTTGACCAAATATCTCCTGGAAGTTCTTACGAATAACATTCATTTTGAATGTTGGACAAATCAGAAGCAGTGGCGGGTTATAATGAGGTGGTTGTCAGGCAGAGCTGGGTGTCCACAGTACACCTATGGAACATGGAACTTTGTTTTTGAATTAGGTCATCCGGTGGCAGTAAATAGATGAGAAGTAGTCCAGTTCTAAAGATAGACCCTTGGGAGACTCCAGAAGCAATTGTGCAGAAGTGGGAGGCAAGGTATTTAGGGTGCCTGGGAACAACTTGATAGATAAGAATGGAACCAGGAGAAGGTGGTTCTATCCAGCTAGACAATGGAGGATGGCGTATGACAATGTCAAAAGCTGTAGCTAGTTAATGGTGAGATTAATCTGAGATGTAGGATGACACAAAACCTATTGTGAGAAGCAGTAATTACCAAATTTGCACGTCAGATTCATCCAAGTATTAAGAACTTACATAGGAAAGAAAGGATATTATTAGATTGTGCCACGGTCCCCACCAAAGACATGTAAACAAACAGGCCTTTCTGCAAGACAAAAGCAACATGAATTTTAGTCAATGGTGACCCCCAGGATGTTGATGGTGTGGGTTTCAGTGACCGTAATACTGTTGATTGTCATGGGGAGATGGTTAGATTCTCTCCTGTTTGCGACAGTGGTTGCTCACACTTATGTGGCATGAAAGGTACTTGCCACCTTTTAGCCCAAGCCTGAACGCTATCCAGATCTTGTAGATATGGTCACGGACTGCTTCAGAGTTTCTGGAATCATGAATAAAATTGAATGCTGTCCAGTTGCCAGTGAGTAATCCTACTTCTGACCTTATGTTGGAGAGAAGGTCATTGAGGAAGCAACTGGTTATAGTTGGACTTAAGACACTACCCTGAGGAACTGCTGCAGAGATGTTCAAGGGAAAATCTGGGTGCATTCTGAAGATTGCAAAGTGTTATTTAGTGAAAATGGAAGTATAATCCAGGGATCAGATCCTGATCAACTGCCCAAGTGCACTATTCCCAAGTCCTCTGAGGCCTCCACAGAGCAATATTTCACATTGGGGCCAGCCAAACAGCTCATTCAGGTTTTTAAAACCACCTGGGGCATCCTGCAACATTAGTGATAAGGTTCTTAAATACTTAAAATGCTTGGTTCAATTAATAGACTTGTGGCCCGAAATTAGGTTGTGAAATGCCCCACTCCAGATCTTGGTGATAGGAGCAAATTACTTCAGATGCTGGAACCTGTACTGAAGTCAACAACTGCTGGAGAGCACAGCAGGTCAGACAGGGTCCATGGAGATTCAGCAAAATAACATTTCAAGTCTAGATGATTCTGATGTAGACTCGGTGATCGAACCTAGACTAACACTTCAGGGCTGAGGGTCCGCTCCATTATCAGGGATGTTGTCACACTGATGAGATGCTGAACTAGAAATACAAGTGGCTGCAAGAGATTCCAAGGCACTATATGAAAAGCAGGTGTCCTAGCCCAGATTTACAGCATTTTGGGACATTCCCCAAATCCGAGAGGGGTCTTAAATAATTGCAAGTTATTTCTTTCCAAATAGGAACATAATTTAGACATGGATGTAGGAGGTTCGATCAGTAAGTTTGCAGATGATATGAAAGTTGGTGCTATGATAAATAGCAAAGCATAAAGTCTTATACTACAGGATGATATAGATGGGTTGATCATATGAGCTGAACAATGTCAAATGAAATTTAATCTGAAACTTGTGAGATGATGCATTTTGGAATGACTAACAAGTCAAGGGAGTGCATGCTCCTGAATGGTAGGTCCTCAGGAAGTACAGACGATCAGTGGGACTATGGTGGGTATGTTCCTAGATGATTGCTAAGAAGGCATATGGAATATTTGCCTTTCTTAGACAAGGCACTGAACACAAGAATAAGGAAGTTATGCTAGATCTGTATATCATGTTAAGTTAGGCCACAGCTGGAGATTGTGCAGCGCTGGCTGCCACACCACAGGAAGGATGTGATTGCACGAGAGAGGGTGCAGGAGAGATTCACCAGCGATATTGCTTGGGATGGAGCAATTCAGCCATGAAGAGAGATTAGATAGGCTTGGGTTGTTTTCCTTTGAGTCGAGAAGGCTGAGAGGTGACCTGATTGAGGTGTACAAAGTTCTGAGGGGCATAGACAGGGTAAACAGGAAGCAACTTATCCCCTTAGTAGAGGGACAATGACCAATGACCAGAGCAGGAGGTTTAGAGGGGATTTGAGAAGTAATTTTTTCCACCTGGAGCATTGTTGGTACCTGGAATGCACTGCCAAAAAGGGTCGTTGAGGTTGGAACCATCAACACATTTAAGAAGTATTTAGATGATCACTTGAAATGCCATGGCATACAAAGCTAAGGACCAAAACTGGGAAATGGGAATAGAATTGATGGGTGTTTGATGACTGGTGGGGATACGATGGGCCAAATGGCTTCTTTCCACGTTGTAAAACTCTATTACTCTATTTCAACATTTTGATGGATTTTTCTTGCGTTTTTCCCACAAGCCACTAATGTTTCTATTTCAAAATGAACGAATTAAACAAAATTAGTGCAGAACATTCCAGAGAATTAGAAACAAAACCAGACACTGCTGGAAAAGCGCAGCAAGTCTGGCAACAACTGCAGAGAAATCAGAGTTAACCTTTCGGGTCCGATGACCCTTCATCAGAACTCAGGAATGGGAAGTTCTGGTGAAGGGTCACTGGACTCGAAAAGGTCTGGCAGCATCTGTGGAGAGAAATCAGAGTTAATCAAAGTTAACGTTAACTCTGTTTTCTCTCCTCAGATGCTGCCAGACCTGCTGAGCTTTTCCAGCAATTTCTGATCTTGTTTCTGATTTATACAGCATCCACAGTTCTTTCGGTTTTTATTCCATGTTTATTTTATGTTTGGAAGATGCTGTACTCAAAAATCTTAACTCCGTTTCTTATTTATACAAATACCCCCAGATCGGCTGAGTTTTTTTTTGTTTCCCCAGCATTTTCTGTTTTTATTTCAGAGGTCCAGCATCCGCAGTAGTGTATTTTTGCATTAGACTAGCTGCAAGGCTCGGATCAGTGTAACATAAAGACAGAGCGTGAGAACTGACCAGCGACTTACCAGGGTGAAGTGCACGATGGCATCATAGAACAGCCAGCCCAGGAGTGCTCGGTCCAGCGGCGGGCAGTGTTGCCCAAAGCCCAGAGCCAGTGCCCAAGCCAGCGGCACCTGAACGGCGCAGAGCAGCAGCGAGGTCAGCGCTGCCGGGCTCAGCAGCGCCTGTTCGGACATTCCCTGCTCCTCCAGGGTTCGCAGCTTCTGCAATCAGTTTCCTTCAACTTTTGCAGCCACAGCGGAAAGGTCTAGCACATTAACACCCAGGAACTCCAGCTCATTCATTAAACTTCACGCTTCTCCCTCCTCACAGCTTCCAGCCCTTGCTGGGGAATATCATCTGCCCCATGTCAACCTGGGGCATCAACGAAAAATAAAAAAACTGCAGCAACTCCGGTCACCGCGCAAAGACCACAGGCTCCCCGGTCTCATCGTCACCATCTGGTGCCGACACTCGGAATTACAGCCACTTTCATCAGAGTTCGGCACCTCCGGGCGGTCTCGGGCAGTTGAGGCTGAGTTTGCTGCCCCCGAGTGGCAGTCTCCGGGAGTTCAGGCTGAGTTTGCTGCCCCCTATCGGCAGTCTCCGGGAGTTCAGGGTGAGTTTGCTGCCTCCAGTGGCAGACTCCGGGAGTTGAGGGTGAGTTTGCTGCCCCCCAGAGGCAGTCTCCGGGAGTTGAGGGTGAGTTTGCTGCCCCTCAGTGGCAGTCTCCGGGAGTTCAGGCTGAGTTTGCTGCCCCCTATCGGCAGTCTC